AAGGTAACATCCCCAGTCAATCCTGATCAGTCCACATATACAAAGACAAGAAAAGAGATCCCACAAAATACAATCTTCTACCATTCTTGTTAAGACTTCCCTACATGCTGTCCCATCTACCAACGGCCCCCCTTCTCTGAATCGGGCACAGAGACCTATATTCGGTCCCCCCAGATGACCTTAGTCTCAGTCTGTGGTAAGTGCCTCTCTGAGCCCCAGTAGATAATGGGAACTCATTGACCTCCTGCCTCCGACGGGTGGGTCGCCACGCCACTCTCTTAAAGTGAAAAAGACAAAAATGTGGTGGTTGCATCTGGCCATGATCTATCTGGCAAGTTTATTCTGATTTCGCACATTTCAAAAGTGGTGTGGCGATGCCCTGTGGGCCTCACCACACAGCCTTTCAGAAGGAGGCATGTTCTGAAATTTGCCAAACAAAATTCGAAAGATGGATGCTCGAAAGAACCACCCACTGGCACCTTCGCCACACATACTTTTGAAACCGCGCTAAACAACTAGTACCTCCGAGGCTGTTTTTGCCGACCCTGAATTTCACTGCGCTCCGAGTTTTGCCGACCCTGGGTCCCACTCCATTCTCTTTATTTTATTTTATTTTTATTATTATTATTATTATTATTATTATTATTATTATTATTATTACTATTATTTTCCGTTCTCTTTATGGCACTCTCACAGGAAGAACCAAAAAAAAAAAAAAAAAAAAAAAAAAAAAGGTTGAGGCTGTGAAACTTACAAAACAAGAAAACATGAAAAATGAAACAAAGCTCTAGCGGCGATTGCAGTTGTATACATTCCTGGAAGTGCGTGAGTGTGCCCTCAGTGAGGGCATCTCAGCCCCCTGGCCAGGTTGTCAGATTCCAGAAACACAAAGCAAGGGGAAAAAAAAAACAGAAACTCAGATTCGGCCGTGAAAATGGCTGGATACATTCCTCTAAGTGCCAGTGTGATCAGGGTTACAATCCTCTAAGGGAACACAGCTCGAGCAGATCACAGATTCAGATTGTCAGATTCCAGAAACAGAAAACAAGAAAATGGCTGGATAGAGGGCCTCTCTCCACTACTCTATACTCTCGAAATTTCGAGAGTAAGGCCTCGCTCCACTCACTCTAGATAGGTGCTCTCGAAAACGCCCTTCGAGAGCTGTCACAAAGCACTCTCCAAGGGCACTCTGGAAGTGTCTAGAGTGCCCAGCCTGCGACGACATGCTTTTCCAATGTCCTCCCTCGTAGCCCGGCTCCGGCCTTTTTTTTTCGAGAGTGCGCCTCGTGTCCCGACCATCAGAACGGGGCGGCGCTGTCTTTTAGTGCAGTCAGGGAGCTCGTCTCATTCCGCCACTGCATCTCGAGCAAACCCATCTAGAGTAAGCGGAGCCAATACTTTTTTTTCGAGAGTTTTGCACGTCTCACAGCTCTAGAAGGACTCACGAAATTTTCGTGAGTCGAGAGTAGTGGATGGAGACCCAGATTCCTATATGTACCAGTGTGATCAGGGTAACCGTTACAATCCTATGAGGAAAAGCAGCTAGAGCAGATCACGGATTCCGCCCTGCCTCACACAGTTGTGTGAGATGGAAGGATAGGTTGAGTCTACAGGGGAGCAGATAGGGTTAAAGCACCAGTACATGGGCACCTGGGCCGCGGGACGGACACCTCAAATTCTGGAGGCGTGAAACGAAACTGCTACGGCAGGCCCGGCATTTGACTTTTAGGCCTCGTTTTCTTGCGGCGACAACTTTCGGAATGCAAGGCTGGGGCCGTATTGACGTAATTAGCTGCAAAATCTACCTGAATAGGGGACTCTTCCCCACAGCAGAAGAGAACAACACAAGACTGGGACGTTATGCTGGAGTCTATCCTGGAAGCTATGCCCGCACTCCGTGGCATGTGCTGTGAAGAGACCCACCTCGAAGAGTGACATAGCACCTGGGCTTCAATGAGACACATCACTTGAGAAAGCAGAAGACGGACCCCCTTCACAAAATTCACGTGTAGAAGTCTCGCCCAGCAATAATAATCTGGCCTACAGCTATGGCCAAAGGCACTTGATGCCATAGTCTACATCTACTTCCAGGTATATGGGCCTATCCACACCATTGTCGAAATCGAAAAAGTTGGAGTGCACCTTCCTCAGAAAGTGGCAAAATGCATCTGTTGCTATTCATAGTAACGGATGATGCATCTGGTCACACACTGCCGGAACATGCGTTTGTACTTTTTGCGATTATGACACGGGCATTTTAATTATAAGTCGACCAATAAGACCCACCTAAAGGACAAACTAACAACACTCCAAGCACTATGGCCATTTATTTATTTATTTATTTATTTACTTTTTTTTGGACCATTTCTCGATTTATGTGTGTCATCCTTGCGCAGTGGCCATGCTAATCTTCCTTCTCTGTATCGTTCCAGTTTCTTTTTTTTTTTTTTTTGTGTGTGTGTGGCGAAGAGGGCAGCTCCGTTTCCCTGTAATTTGCCTTCAGAAATTTGAATTTTGAACGCGTAGAAAATGGCACCAAAAACAGATATTGAATCAACACCTTCCTCCGTAGTGTCCTGCCACATGTCATCCAGAACTCAACAGCGGCTTCCAGCATGTGGACAAAAACAAGAATTACAAGATTTGACAATGTATAGCACGAAACAGGGTTAAGGCGCGAGGTCCCACTGGCAAAGAGGATTGTAGTGAGTGTCTGAATGTGGACCTGTTTGTGGAAAGATGCGAAAAAATGTGATTGATCTACGTTTCTGCATTTATGCGTGGAAGACGTCCAGATTCAGACACTTCTTCCAATCCTCTTTGTTGCCAGTGGGATCTGGCCCTAGACGTAGGGTGTCAGGTAGGCAAGCAGCTCAGACTGCTGCGCAGTGCTGCCTGCCAAATTTCACATTCGCAGATGAGGCCCTCTACATCCTCTCGGGTTGTTTGTTGTGGGGAAAAAAAAAAAAAAACACTATGGGGAAAATCGATCGTTTCCCCCTCCCCCTCCCCCAATACCCCCGCAAAAGAAGTCCGTCGTTACGCACTTATCATCGAACGACTACGCCTCGCTCCACTGAGTACCCCTCAGGGCTTCGACTCTATAAATACCAAGCATGCACATCCATCGAACAACAGCCAGCTCGTAGTTCGTTCGCTCTCAAGCCGAGGGCGACGGCAGTTGTCACGACCGGTCCGTGACTCTCTCTCTCTCTCTCTCTCTCTCTCTCTCTCTCTCTCTCTCTCTCTCTCTCCCCCCGCGGGAGTGGAAGACGTCGAGCATCATGGCTCGCCTGCGCGTCTCCACGCTGCTGGCCTTCGGCGTCGTCGCCCTCGTTCTATCTGCTGCCCTACCCTCCGCGTGCGCGGACCGACGGATGAAGGGCCCTCCTAAGTGCGATGACGATGTCGACGACTGCCCAAATAAATGCCCCGGAGGACCCAACTGTAACAAACCATCGCCGCCCACCAAGCCATCATGCCCAGGAGGACCCGACTGTCCCAAGCCAGCGCCGCCCACAAGTGGCAGCTGCGACAAGCCGCTGGGAGAATGTGACTTCTTCTTCCACGACCACAAGAACGAGGTGCCGACCATCACTCTCGTCCGAAAGGGGGACAACCATATCTACGTCGACTGCGGTCATATCGTGCATCAGGATGGGTAAGTCAGCAGCGCCGTTAACAGGCCCGTTATACCTACCGTTTGTTTTTTGCGTGCGACAACGAACGAACGAGCGAAAGAAAGAAAGAAAGAAAGAAAGAAGGAAGAAGAGAGGAGGGGGAGGGGAAGAAGAAAGAAAGAAATTGAAAGAAGGAAAGAGAAGGGGAATCATACCCTCTTGCATTTTTGAATGATTTTCAACTTTCTGTTCTTTTTCTTTTTTTGAGGGGGGGGATTTTATGGGTTTTTTTTTTTTTTGGTTTAATTCCTCGACCTTTTTTCTTGTTTCGGTAAGGTTGTGCTTTTCCAAACCTGAAGGTTGAATTCTTTCTTTCTTTTCTTTTTCTTTCTTTTCTTTTTCTTTCTTTCTTTTTTTCTTTCTTTCTTTCTTTCTTTGTCTCCCGTGTATGCGCTTTCATGGCGATTTTCTCTTTTTTTGTCAGCCGTAACCCTCGTTAATACGAAGTTTAACGACCAAGGTTTTTTTTTTTTTTTTTTTTTAAGCCTGAATCGGATAATCAACCTCCCTGCTCGATTATTGCTCCTGTCGATTTTTTTTGTATTCTTTATGAAATATTCTTTCGTACGTTGCTCCTGTCCGTTTCCACGGTTTTTCGTTACCGATGCGTTGCTCCCTTATCTTCTTTCACCTCTCTCTCTCTCTCTCTCTCTCTCTCTCTCTCTCTCTCTCTCTCTCTCTCTCTCTCTCTCTCGTTCGTTCAATCCGTCGCCGCATGATTTTGGTTTCGTTTTTGTTTTTTTTGAGGTCCAACAAAAACGTCGATGTTGAGCTTGTTCGTGCTTTTGTCTTGCGACGCTCGTCCCCTTTCAGCCTTGTTTCACCGGTAGGCGGATGAATGTAGGTATGCCGAATGAATTATTTTTTTGCATTTGGATCCACTAGCGGTAAATTTAAATGTGTACATTGATTTTTCCAAAATCATACCGCTGCATGCCAAATATTTGTCCTCTCCTAGCCTTGCGCCTTCCCACCTCCCAGTCCTCTCTCTCTCTATGAGTCTGTATATCGAATACGTATGGATAGAGATATAGATATATACGTACGGATATGGATATTTACGTACGGATATATATATTTACGTATGGATATAGATATAGGTATATGCATGCATGCATGTATGTACGTATGCATGCATGCATGCATGCATGTGTTTACTTGCGTGGCGTTACCAGCTCACGGTTAGTTTTTCTTTCCGCGGGGGGAGCCTGGGGGCAGGGCGGGGGATGGGGGCGACGGACATACTTGCTTACAGCTACGCAAGAGGGGGGAAGGATGTGTTTCCCTCCTCTTTTTTTCCCTTTTTGGCATTTGGGCTGAGAATGTTTGGCTCCCCGAGCGAGGTCGCACTAGCAAAAGGGATTGGATGCTCCTCCTGAATCTGGATGTGCTTTTAGCAGAGATGAAAAGGTGTTCAATCTCGAATTTCTGCTCCTTTGCACAAACGCGTCCAGATTCGGGCATTCAATCCGATCCTCCTTGCGCCGCAAAAATCACGTCGGCCATATAACATTCTTGCGTTTTTACGTTCGTGCAATTGAAAGGCCAGGCTGTTCTCTTTTTTTCTTTTTTTGTGGGTGGGGAGGGGGATGGGGGGGCATGCTGATCTTCTCAGTGTCTTCCCATTTTTGTGTTTTAAGGAAAAGGGTGACCGCCCGGAGACTGAGGAGAGAGATCTTTTTTTTTTTTTTTTTAAGGCTAAGGCTTGAAATATCATCGTTGAACGGACCTGGCAGTCCGTGTGGGCGCCGCAAAAATCACGTCGGCCATATAAATTTCTTTATTCCGTTTTTACGTTCGCGCAATTGAAAGCCAGGCTTTTTTCTTTTCTGACCATGCTGATCTTCTCTGTGTCGTCCCAGTTTTGTGTTTCAAGAAAAAGTGTGACAGCAACAACGAAATATAAATCCATCATGGTTTTGCTGCCATCCCATTTTGTTGCAACAACGGTCGGGCGATTTCCCGCGCTTGTCTCACAGGTGGTTTGTGCGGACATCTTACACTACTGGTGTGCTAGTGGAACCTTCTCTCTCTCTCTCTCTCTCTCTCTCTCTCTCTCTCTCTCTCTCTCTCTCTCTCTCTCTCTATATATATATATATGTATTTCCTCCCGAATTAGCCAAAAACTCCGTTTTGATTTGCTTTGCTTTGATATGATTCTTTTCTTGAATGCAGGCCCGACACGAGGCCGGTCCAGACGGTGAACTCCGCACACTGCTCGCTGCTGAAAGGCGGATACTGGGACCAGAACAAATGCGGTCACCACATTTACGGCAACGGAAGGCACATCGCGTCTCGGCATTTCCCCAGCATTCAGAACCCATCCCACTTCCTCAACACCTGCATCAAGGTGCAGATCAGCGCAGCGCAGTACAAGGACGGAGGCAACTTCAACAACGGTCACAGCAACCCAAGGGCCTGCATTGTCGTCAAGACGGCAGGGAGCTTCGCCTAAAACGTATCTACATGTAGAAGTAAGAGTAGGCTGTTGATACATTCAATCTGCTGTTCGTAGTACACAATTATAGCGAGGCGGGAGAAAGGTGAGAGCAAGAGAGAAGAGAGAGAGAGGTAGAGAGGTAGAGAGGTAGAGAGAGGTAGAGAAGGTGGTAGAGAGAGAGGTAGAAGAGAGGGATAGAGATGGGAGAGCAATTTTGAGGTATGACCAAAGGTGGTCGCCTGCCCTAGTTTTTTGTTTAAATTCGTCGTTGTACAGCGATGCAAAAATTCAGCATCTAAGAAGAATTGCCCAACGTTTTTCTGTCTTGGGTGTGGTCAGGCATATGATTTTCCTTCCTCCCTCTCTCTCTCTCTCT